TTTTTGCGGAGGACATCTCTCTAGTCGATCACAGTAGAAACATCACAACAGAGGCCGTTTCGGAGCTGACACTTGCCGCACTGACCATGGTAACTGCTTTTTGCAGCTGTGCGCTGACCACAGCCTGAACACAAGTAGCACAGCTTTACAGCACAAGCGTTCGCACTGAGTCACTTGGTAGTCGCCGGGTGACTGACCATATCGCCATCAACTACAAATTGCGCATATTAGTACAGGATTTTCGGTCGGTTTAAAGCACTTGCATTCCGAACACGCCTTTGTGCATGTGTTCACAACACCTAGTCCACTTCAAATTAGCGGTACCAGCCGGAATTGTAGCGCCATTTGTCGCAGTTTAGCTAGATAGGCGAATGGAATGCTGGCTGGAATCACTTTCAGCGGCAAATACGAATCGACACAAGGTTACATGTTCATCCGACTCAAGGCGTCCGAATAGTGGATAGATTGTTGAAACCTCCACTAGGTTGATTAAAGCACGGAGAATGTTTCTACCGGATCCAAAATTCTATTGTACTCGTAACATTCTGAAGCTTTGTCCGACCAGGAGTCCTGAGTATTGACTGAGAGCTGTGATGGGTGCAGAGGACTCGCGAGTTGGAGAGGGACGGCGCCTTCTGGAATACCGGAGTGTCTTTCCAATTTATTCGATGTACTCGTTCATGAAAGGCTGCTGATTGAAACAATGGTTGAAAGATACAAGCAACTGATTCACTGTTGCGTCGTCTAGAACCCCGGAACAATTAGACGGGCTTAGTGTACCAGTTGTTGGGTTTGTAATAATTCTCACCGTCGATGAGATCAGACATAAGGTAGTACTGCTGAACCCAAACTTACCAAGCAACACTGGACCGATTAGCACGGGCAGTCAATCGTTTTGGGCTAAGCTTTACTCCATCGAAATGCAAAGTCCTTTAAGATTGGCAGGACTCCACTCCTGCGCTGACCCTTGGTGGGGACCGGCTTGAAGTCGTTCAGGAATTCAAGTACCTGGGCAGCTGTGTTAGCGCCTGTGGGATCGGTTATGAGGTCACGAACCGTATAGCAAAAGCTAGAGGTGCTTTTACCAATCGCCGCCGCAACATCACTGTCCCCATGAAGGGCAAAGTTTATAATGCAACCTTCTGTTCAACCCTCTTATCCGGTTGGGAAACCTGGCTGATCAAGTCGACAGACATAGGGAATAGTCACGTGCGATCATCTCTACGTTTGCAGCTTAGCTCATGTCTGGTAGGAGCACCGAGTGAGCAATGAGCGTGTTCAGCGTCGCGTATTTGGTGCAGGGAAAGCGATTAAACCACGCATGCCAGCACACTGACTCCCGCGACGTGCGTTGTTTGCACGTCAGGAGTGTGGTTGGAAGAGCAAGGGAGGCCAAGCGATGACTTGGTCGAGAGAAATGAAAGCCCTCACTTCGAAGCTGGTATCGGTTAGTGCATCCCGACTGCCTGTTTGGGATTCTAAGGACGATGAACACGTTCGGTTGGACACACTTGCTGATATGGCTAGGAGCCGGCCCCAATGGCGTTTGTGTTGTGAGTTCATTTGTCCATCCCCTCCTGCTTCGCCTCACCCTCCAATCATGATCTCAATCGCTAGGCATAATATAACTCTTTTTGCGGCACGATATCCTGCTGTTAGCTCTGCGGAACGATGTCCATCCGTTACTGGGTCTCAGCCAGCGTGCCACTGTTTTCCTTTTCTTGTCTTTTGTATTGCGGCCAACATTCAAGCGCCGCTGGATGAACGGACGCGTAGCGCTGCGCGCTTCGGCATTTGCTTCGCGCTTGTAAAGTGCAAGCTGCTGCTAACAAACTAAGTCGATACCCAACCAGGGCTTACAGTGATGGGAGAACTGCTCGAAATGATGGATGATTGATTAGATCTATCACCACTGGCGGTTACTTCACCGAGATTGCATCACGCGTAGCTAAGACTTATGCTTTTTCAAAACGTCAGTCACTTACGGAAGCGGCAATCGTATTAGTTGAGGAAAGGGTTTACAACGCTGCGGTGCTACCAGCGTTGCTCTACGGATGAGAGACCTTCCCGCAATGGGATGACGAGAATGTCCGTCGTCGATCACTGTTGCCTCGCAGTTTTACACTTGCGTGGTGGAAGCCGCCCAGTTGTTCAATGCATTTTGTAATCGCATTGCTCAGTCATGCGCTGCCTGGGTCAGCGAGCAGGTTTCCTCGGTGTGTGTAGTTTTCCAATACCTCGCCCAGTTGATAATCCCGGTGGAATCTAGAAGAGAAATCTCTGCCTGCAGCAAGTACGATGTGATCAGACGGACCATTGGCCGCTAGGTAAAATGCATTTGTGGGCTAACAAAGAGACATGGTGGCCCCGAATGGCTCAGCAAATGGAAGGGATTCGAGCGACAGTCAATGATCTCAAACTCTTACATCTGCTCTGATCCACTTGTCCGGGGAACGTTTTCCTCCGTTGGACAATGACTGCACTGGTGCACCGATTCATAATAAGAAATGTCGCCTTGGTCGGTGGGCGGAACTCTTTCTGGAGCAGTCTAGTTGGATTTCCGCTCCTGCACGTTTTTTTTCCTCAAGTGATACTGATTGAACCATAACCGGTTTATTTAGTGATGTCATCAAATACCGAATTCCGAAACGCGATCGCAGCCCTCAGCCTCTTTAGCGTTACAGGTCCGCGCTATTTAAGAATGGGGTGATGTTCTCTACAAGGCACTAACCCGCATGTTCGAGCAGGTGTGGAGCGAATCGATCATAGTGGTGAGGCATAGGGTTGGCAACCGCACAGATTGTGTTAATCACAGATGTATCACCCTGACACCGATAATAACAAAGCTACGGACCTCAACACTTTTTCGACTCTTCACTATGGAAAGAGGATCCCGGATGAGGGAAGTGGAGACCGATTTTCGTCCACGACGGGGTTACTCGGACCACCTTTTCGTATTGCTTGTCGTCACAAATACCGCAGGACCCCGATACTCGTGTCTCTCGATTCCAAGATTGCGTTCGACTCAGTCGATCACCTCATCCCTTGCGACCTGCTTGCTCGATAGTGTGTTCCCATCAAACCCATGAACGTTTTACATACCCAGTACTCGAGTGCTGCAAGCCACATCGGCACGAAGTGGCGACGCTTCGCAGCCTTGCAACCACCGCCGGTTGCACGTGGTCTGAAGCTACTGAGTGTCGTCCTGCCCCTATGCAGGCCCGAACCCGCGTCGTCAGATTACAAGATAAGCTTGGTTCCTTTAGGCTACAGACGGGCCCAAGTTGTACGGCGAATTGTTTGATGCCTTTCTGTCTATGAGTGGCGTTCGTCTTGGTTGTTGGATCTCCTCCTTTTTCAACTCTACCATGCATTCTCTGATGGAATGTCCGCTTGCGAACTCCTAACACTTGCATTGAAATGCTACATGTTAGAAGCTGGCTGGCCTGGGTTATGCGAACGATTCCGTCTTGCCGTTCAACAGTCGCGAGGTGACTCATTCACCCATAGAACATGTGGGATTTGCGCATACTGTCTTTTCGAATGGGAGCTCCAGGGTCGACTATCTTGACGGTTATGGGCCCTGTCAGTTGTTGTGTCGCCACTGACGCCTTCACCCCACGACCGCAAGAAGTGCTTATATAGTTTTGAAGGCAAAATGAAGGGAAGCTACTAAATTACACTTGAGCTAACCAACAAAAGGAAAACGTCAACTGCAACTGGCGTATAAAAAACTGTGTAATCAAGAGGGGATCGCATATGTCCTTATAAATAGCATCATGGGCCCCAAAGCGAACATCCATTTACAGTGACGAGCACTGACCAGTCAGAATAACGAAGTGTAGCTATTAAACAAAAGTTACGAACAAACGAGAATAAGAAGTACACACACAGAAATTAAAAACTAGCACAACAATTTTGTGACAACTAATATTCCTATAACATAACCAAGTAGCAAAGTGATGCGGAGAAGTATCAATGGAATGTGTTCTTGCGAATAGCACTGCTGAAAATGACACGGAGATGAGCATCCATTAACAATGACGTGTGTGTATCTATCGGGCTAACACAGTGGGCGTTTAAACAAGGGAGAAGTAGAAAATGGAAATAATAATGAATGGCTATTAAGCTCGTTCATAAACATGAATGTCGAATAGCTATTCACCTAACATTTGTCACGATACACTCACGTGGCCCATCTTGCTCCCGCATCCAAACCCGCGCTTTCTATTTTAGCTTTTCGGCATATACAGCGTTTTTCTCTGATCCCTTCGATATCTTTTTCTCCTTCACTGTTACTTTGTGACTTGCGTTTAGGATTCAAGGTAGCTGGATTCAGCTTGCGTGGCTAAGTACTTGCATTCGGGGACTCTACATTTTTCAAATCTGGAACCAGTGCCACCCATTTGTGTTGCTTCTTCATCCTGAGGCAATGTGTTAAATGTCCAGTTCATGCCACCACTGCGTCCTCCGCCGGTGTCACTCCCGTCTTCTCTCATCCGGGATTCGGCACCTCTATCTACTCCAATGCTGTTTTTCAATAATTTCCATCTACCTAACAGTCTTTTTAGCCACATGTTGATTGCCCCAATTACCTTTTACCTAAGAGCTAAAGTTGGATGTACTAGTACTCGAGTGCCTCTGCTGACGCTTAATTTTGGACTATATTTTCATTGGGGTTTGGTGGTTCGACTCGGATTAATGATTATATGCCGTGTCCTGAGACAAAATGCGTGCTGTGATAGCCGTAACATTGTGTGCGTAGCCATGCGTGTCTTATTCACCTTTTGTAATCACATTGATCTACTACTGCGCCCATTGGTATCTGACGGCTACCGTCACAACAACCAAAGCGCTTGGGTGACAGATGACCCTAAGTAAGGGGGTTGTGTGATCTCAGTGGAATTTGCTTTTACAACTGAGACTCGACGTGTTGTTCACCGATTACATTCCGTGTCTCTCCACTGGTTACGGTTTTGCAAACGTGCTCGCTTTCGCAGTGCTTCGACACCCAACAAAACCCATCTTGTACAAATGGCTCCAGGACCGCCACCGCGGTATTCGAGAAAAAGCGTTCTACGAACTTGTTTATTCCTCTGATGCCCCGGAGGCCATGAAGGCGCTGCGATCCTTCATACCACGTTACCATGGCGTGTATCGTTATCAAGCGTCTGAAAGTATGCATTTGTACGTTTTGGTAATCCTTACTTTGCTGTTTTGTGCTCTTTCTATTCACTGTTGCCTTTTGTCGCTCGTGTGTGATTGATTTGCACTCTGAGACGTTTAATTTGCTCAGAAGACTTTTTGTTTGCATTGTGGTCGTCCTAGTGTGCTCTACGTTTTGCTGGCCTGGACAGAGCAGTTTATTTTTCGTAGTTTTGGCTCACCTCCAGTTCCAATATGTTCCCCTTATTTCTGAATTTTTTAAATATCAGTGAAACCATTTAGATTTTATTCCTTATGAATCCGATAGACATCCCACGCATTCAGATGCCTAGCGGATGTCACAAATTTATTCGATTCACACTAATCATCTTCCTTACAACGGACAACGCCTTTACTTCGTTAGAATGCACTTGTTTCCGGTGCTTATATTGCCGAAACGCATGCCTACGAAGCTTTTTTCTATCAGTTAGTTTCTCCAAGGATATACGAGGTGATTCCCCGAGTTCATCGCAATAATTTAAAGTCATCGACGTTACACCCCCTCATTTTCAAACTAGTGTCTTCTAAATGTTTACTAATGGCTCCCTGAATAACTTTACCTCGTGTGGAACTCCTTCTAAGTTGCTGTATGGTGAGTTTAAAAGTACACGGACGCCATGGCAATCTCGTGATTTTTGACGATGCTGGGTAGGGCACCCGTAGTAATAGGCACCGATGTTTTTCCGCCGTGCGGTTTTATGTGAAGCTGGGATACTGCAAAGGAGCCCAAGCGGGGTAGCCTGAACCGCTACACCGTTGAGCTTCATCCCCCGTGATCCTCCTTCATTTCGTCTGGGTGTTCGTCGCTGATGAAATTACTCCGAAAAATATCTCTAGCACGTGCTTCGTTTATATAAATGCTCAGTAATGCCGAAGAACTGGCCTGTTAGAGTGCTGGCTTCTACGATCACGAAAGTCCACGGTAGATGACCGCCCTGTTCGCGCCTCCAGGATGCTTTGCGATACACGGTCTCATGCTATATATATATATATATATATATATATATCTAAATATATATATATATGGTTGGCGGCATCCGGTTTCGGATTTGCCTGTCACTGTGGCAAGCCACAGGACGCCTGCGCCTACAGAGGGACCATGGATGGCTTGCGCTGCACCACCCACAGCTCCAACCACACACCCCATATCCAGTGTAAACCCGAAGGAATAAGACCGGGAGGCATGTGGATGGGAGCCACGTTTCATCAACGGAGCCGGCCCACACTCCTTCACAGGTAAACACAAGTACACTGTATTTGGGGAATCAAGCGCACACAAGGCGGTGGTTGGACCGTAGTCCGCTCCACACTGAGTGCATGGAACCACTCTTCTAGCCTAACACGGCTACACGGATCGTGCACCCCGTCTCCTCCAGCAACGACCAACTGTCTCCTGGAGCCAATATGGACGACGTAGTGGGTAATAGACAGGTAGGCACCTTGTCAACATGCACATCAAGCGCAGCCACACCGGGGATATCAAACAACAGCCAATCACTTGAGAGAGAGAAAGAAAAAGAGAAAAACCCCATTAATGCATAAGGAAACGGTGACATAAACCTTAATTAAATAGCATACGTAATAAGTTGTTTGCAAACACATCCTAGCAAAGTGCAAGAGGTCAGGAAGTATAGTTCACGGAATGCCACGAACACAAAAATGTTATGGAAATCGAATACAATTGGCTGAAGCGATGTATGCAAGTTAATGGAATAGAGTACAGAGAGATATTTATATGAGAAAGAAAAGCATTAAGGTAAAAACTGTAAACCCACCACCTGAAATAAAGAGACTTAGCATGCAAGCACGCGGTTAGTAAATCGAATTCAACGGGCCTACAAACGCTGCGCCGGCTCGTCGTAATTCTCTGCAGGACCCGTCGTCGCTTCTGTAGTGGCCCCAAAGGACCTAGCTCATGGCCCACTAGACATTTATATGAGAAAGAAAGGAATTAAGAGAGAACCGAAAACCCACCACCTGAAATAAAGAGACTTGGCATGCAAGCATGCGGTTAGTAAATCGAATTCAGCGTGCCTACAAACGCTGCGCCGGTGCTGCCTACGTTCACTGCGGGACCCGTCGTCGCTTCGGCGGTGGTCCCGAGTATATATATATATATATATATATATATATATATATATATATATATATATGTAGCAACAGCCGATCACTTGAAACGACGATATCAACTAAAGAAAGTCGAATAATACATACAGATACGGACGGTGACATAAATCTTCACTAAATGAACGTATAAAATAAATTGGTTACGAACAAGTCCGCGAAAAGTTCAAGACATCCGAAAATATATTTTAAGCAGATGCCACAAGCATGAAAATATTATCGAAGTTAACTACAATTAGCTTAAGCGACTTGTGCAACTGTGTAGAAGGAATTTCAGGTAGACATTAATATGATATATTTTTCTGATGTCTTGAACTTGTCGCGGATTTTTTCATAACCAATTTTTTTATACGTTCATTTAGTGAAGAGTTATGTCACTGTCCGTATCTGTATGCATTATTCGCTTTATTTTATTTAATCCCATCGTTTCAAGTGATTGACTGTTGCGTGCTATTTCCGTTGTGGCTGCGCTTGGTGTGCATGTTGACAAGGTGCCTGCCTGTCTTTCACCCACTACCTCGTCCATACTGACTCCAGGAGACACTTGCTCGTTGCTGGAGGTGACGGGATGCACGGATCTTGTGGTCGTGCTAGGCTCGAAGAGTGGTTCCATGCACTCAGTGTGGAGCGGACTACGATCCAGCCACCGCTTTGTGTGCGCTTGATTCCCCAACTACAGTGTGCTTGTGTTTGCATGTGAAGGAGTGTGGGCCGGCTCCGTTGATGAAACTTGGCTTCCATCCACCTTCGTCCCGGTCTTATTCCTTCGGGTCTGCACTAGATATGGGGTATGTGGGTGGTGCAGTGCAAGCTACCCATAGTCCCACCGGAGGTGCAGACGTCCTGTGGCTAACCACAATGAACGGCAAATCCGAAACCGGATGCCGCCAACCATAAATAAATATGTACTATCGGTCGGTACGCGAGTGGTCTGCACGCCTGGCTTACAGGCATAGGCTTGCCAGTGCGAATCCGCGTAGGGTTGGGTGTCTTCGCGGTCTACCTAGCCTAGGCGCTACTGGTATTGGTCGCGCGGCAGCGAAGCTCCGTTACGGCGTACAGCTGACGATTTCTGTATTTTTATCATTGTTATTATTATATACTAGCCACTGTCTACAGTATACAAGGGGTCATCGCAGTGATAGAGCCATCATAGCTTCTACTAAGTGTATCAGAAGAGCAGTTGTTGATTTACAAGCCTTCAGTTACCTAGAGAGATGTTGACATGGTAGCCTGTCTTCTAGGCTGTGACCGCTACCAGTGCGGCTGTACGAACCGGCATTGTAGCTGTTAGGGGAATAATAGCTTTCTTCCAGCCTCGACGGATCGTCCTTCATATCCATCAGGAGAACCGAATGAACAGTGCTCGTGTCCGCCAGTTCTGTGCGGATGCATTGAGGCTTGCCTACCGACCGTTTGCTTTGTTTGTTTGCCGGGATTTCAGCCATGGGGGATAAGCATCGAAATGGTCGAAGTACATTGCATGTGAAAAGACTGTCTCGCATTCATTTGGGCCACGTGCTCAACCACCCTGACGACTGGAAACTCTGTTGGATGTGGTGCCCACTTCTGTTGCCGGTCTGGTCATCTGACGTTTGTACCTCTTTCTGATCCAACTTTTCTCTGTTTGCTTCGTCGCCGTTTCCTGGAGAATGAGTTTCATATGTCCAACGAGAATTTTCATAGCAAATTTCTTGCCAGTTTAAACGTTTGCACTTTACCGCATAATCATATTCAGTTAATATTGTCCATTCGACTTTTTTAGTGCCCGCGTTGCCTTGGAGTTCTGGACGGCGAAATTTCGCGCAGCAACCATAATCGCGACACATAACCAGACGTGCACATTTACAGGCACCACGAATCTCGTTTACCAGTGGATCTACTAAGGGTTCACGTACATGGATAAATCATGTGCTCTTGGTTAAAGTAGAGTTGTATTGTAGTTAGCTGCAGGCTATTTAAACCCCCGAGCTCCTTTTAACTGCGTCTCAAATCTATATACACCAAGCGTCACTGTAGAATGTAAGACTGTGGTAGATATTACTAAAGAGGCATAATCCGACGGAGTCGCACAACGAATTTGACATTCACCCGGTTTATAGCAACGCTAGAACTCGTTTCCCATCAACTATGTTGGTACTCAGTAAATCTAAACGTTAGTTGTGAACGCCTTATGTCTAAACTCTAGTAGACCACCAACGAACTTGTCGTTTCTGGTCAGCATCGGAACATGCAGACCACTTATCCACACCATTGAAGCATGTGGGACGGATTGGGTGGCTTACCGGACGAACAGCTTCCGTCCGATACCATCTTGCTGGTATGCTCCGGCAAAAAATGTAATGGCCTCGTTATACGAAGCAATGCTCAAATAAGCCGATATTATCATCATTATTTCACAATAACTGAAGGTGAGAAACACACTTCCACTATTGTGTATCAATATGAAAACAAGGTACTAAACATTATATAATATACAAAAACCAACAGATAATATACTGCTTAGTAACGCATTACGCTTCAAGACTTAGACTATGGTTGGACGGGGAAGATAAGCGGGATAGGGAGGGACACAGAAACTCACAATCCAAACGCCATTGGGTTAGCTCCTCACCATATCAACAAATGTATCCGACCAGACGTGTTCATCGCCCCGGCAGCCTGGAATCACCAACGGACACTAAGTTCGAAATATGAGTCTTCGTTCCTCTGGACCAAGTCACCTGTTTTCATCCTCTCTTCTTCCATCCACATCCCGATCACGCAAATAACGCAGTCGGTGTGCCGCCATGCACTATTCCTGGCCCAGCCATCGGAGCCTGCTGCGTGATATATTGGTGCTGAGCGGTTAATTCGCG